TTGGAATTAAATCACCCCTTAGATTATAGTTTGAGATTTAAATTGCATATTAATAACCTACTGAATATATTAAATTAAACATGATTTATAGCATAAAGAATGTTTTTTTATCTAACTTTAAAATGTAAAGCGATAATCATGTGCAATTTAGTTGAGAGAAGTGATCTACCTTGTCTTCCGTATCTTGAGAGACATATAATTTATAAGTGGAGTCTGCTTCTTTTACTATTAAAAAAAAAAAAATGATCACGTGAAACATGATTGCATCACGATACCATGGGTGCGTGTGTGTGTGATGTTGGATTATCAAACTTTGATGGATAAAGTTCTAGCCCAAAATATAAGCTTAAGGTGACTTAACTGAATATTAATCCCAACAGGATCCTTGCATACTTTATGGCCGCGCATCCAAGTGCCATGTATTCCCTCTTTATTTTTGGATTGTGGGAGGGAACCATTTTGTGAATTGTCACCACGCACATATGGAAGATATATATGTATGCATGGGAGATATAATGGGAAAGTGTGAAAACTAATTCCCTCATTGTTCTACACATCAAATTTAAGAACAAAACTATTTCTCTCCCTCTCTCCCTCCCCCCCCTCTCACGCATTTATTGTGAATCAAATATAATTATATAAAATTTGATATTGATTGTTCGATTACAAGTAACAATATTAGTTGTTAAAATTGCTAACTTTATTTAATAATTTTCTAACATTAGTTGCAAATTACTAACAGGTCTTATAATTTACTAACATAAATTATAAATTACTGACAGGTCTTGATAGTAAATTAACAAGTAAAATTAGTAAATTAATAACTAATATTATTAATTATCTGATAAATAAATATAATTTACAAGTAATATTGGTTAGTTAACAAGTGCAATAAAAAAAGTAACAATTAGTAATTCTGTATAATAAGTGAAGAGTATTTTAATCTTTTTATTATTAAAATTCTTTTGATTTTTTTTTTGAATTAAAATTTTAAAATTTTTTGGATTCATATGAAATCAAGTCTCTGTGGTAGACTTTAACTGAAAAAAAAAATTTTTTTTTTACAAGCAAAAGCAACAAAATTTGCCATGCAATTCAAACATCTTTTCAATATTACTCTTATTAACCACTTTATTAAATGAGTATCATTAAATTAAAGAAAATAAAGTAAAGCACTAATCACAATAGATTTTTAATCTTATTTAAAATATAATTATTAGAATAAATTAATTTTCTTAAATTGTGTAATTTGATTAAAATTCATTTAATTTGAAGATGGATCGGGCATGACTTTAGGAGTTTTTTTTTCCTTTTTAATTTGATTGCCGACTTTCTAGATGTTTAATCATCTCATCATCAGCGTGCCACTAACAGTTCTCATGCCTCATGGATATTATTATTACATTCATTGAGGGGTTAGTTTGTTGGTTGTTTGGCCAACATCATTATGGAGACCATCATTCACCACCTGATTTTATTTTTAGATAATCTCTCTGATACGGTTGATCATTTAGGCAAGTCCGGTTCATTCGGCCAAATAAACTTGACCCATAGAAGCCCAAATTTTGTTAAAAACTTAAATAGTCAAATCAAATTAAATCAAATTCTTTTAAATTTCAAGCCACTTGAATATCTAAATTACAACATTTTTTTTTTGTAATTTCAGTACTGTTTCTTCACCTAACAGTATTAAAATAATGATTTTCAATACATAAATAAATAAATTCAAATCCAAATAAAAAATACAATCCAAAATTCCAAAATAACAATATAGCTTTAACTAAAAACCCCGGCTGCATAAATATAAACTCACACTAATAGCTCCTTTATGATGCTCCATTATTCCAAATTCCAATCACATCTTAACTAAATCTGAATTAAAGAAATGATTAGTTGTACATTACATAGGAATGGCCCGAGAAATACTAACGTGCTTTCAGTATATAGGCTATCAAACACTATCATTCTATTTTCTGACAGCAAAGAAATCAAAGAGGGATAATTTCCCAGAGATCATGAAACAGATTATAAATGTATGAAGATAACACAATGAAAATGGCAATTTGTCTCATAGTTTTATATGCATCCCAGATGCTTAAATTGTTAAATATGATTTACAAAAAAAAGTTCAAAAAATAAATTGTACAATAAGACTTTTTGAAAAGCTTGGCGCAACTGAAAGAATGTTTTTAGAACTTAACAAAAATATAATTGGGTTTCATGCCAAAGAGGAATGAAGGAACGCACTCATCGTCATTGCTCCTCCCTGAAGAGTTATTTCATAGGTAAAATCACCAACCAGTGTAATCGATCTTACTATTGTGCGAGTGTGCGTGCGTGTTAATACTCATTATTTTAATAAGACAACTTCAAACAATCAACATGTTCATGATCGTTAATTTTGAACACAAAATTTTCAAATTAAAAGCACAAATTTTACACATTTTTCATGAATTTTGAACGCATTCAACGTATGTACTCGTGTCAAAGAATTGTGGGCTAGATTTAAAGTACCAAAAAAAAACAAATAATTAAAAAACACTATTCACAAATATGTCAACCCATCCATGTTTAGTGAAATAAACAGAAAAATATAATTTTAAATTTTTATATTTTATTCAAGTTTTATTATCAATCTTTGTACTTTTTTTATTTTTGTATTCTAAGTTTTTCTTGAGTAGTATTATAAGGATCTCGAACATTAAAAAAAAATTTAAAGACCTAAAATATAAAAAAATATTAGAACTTCTAACAAAATTCAATCAAAATGTCAAAATTTAAAGTTATGTTTTTATTAGCGCACAGGTAAACCGACACGAAATAGAATGTTATATATAGGCTTTTTTTTCTGCCTGAATATTATATATGGGGTTTAAATATTTTATATTAAAGCATGCACATACTCAATCAAAAAATAATAATAAAAATATGGCCTTGTGTGATTTTTTTATATTTTTACAACAATTAATTTTTTTTAACTTCGTTATCACATGCAGTCACCTATTTACTTTTATAAAATATGAAGAATTTAAATTATATGTTATTCCTTTGCGTTGTCTTCAAAAGAAGAAATAAAAAGTTTTTTTAACAAATACATGGTTTGAAAAATATACAATTTTTAATATTAAAAATCCATTGAATAACTATTAATCTATTTAAAAATAAATAAATGCTGATGGAGATTTTTGATTTTGTAAGTTTTAATATTTTATTACATAATTACTTAAAAAATCAGGAACAGGAAACTATTAAAAAACGAAAAAGATATTATGAAAATAAAAAAGTACAGTGTAACAATGTCGGCAAAGCCTTAAAGCCCTAAATTAAAGTTTAGGGTTTAAAAACACTTTTTGTTAGATAAAATATATAAACATTTACCTAACCCAGTATACCAAATGACCAAACTACAGGTTCATTCCTATTGCATTTACTTGAATATGGTTTACTATATTACCTTTTTCTTAAGTTTAATGAAAAAGCTTTAAACTACCTACTAATGAATTTCATGTACCCTATTGACATCCATTTGACAAATACACGTTACATTTATTAATTCATTTAAATTTAATTATTACAAACAGATATAAAGCAAGTAACGATCGTTGTGAATTCATTTAAATTCACATTCATTGCATGCTGCGCAAATGTATTTTGATTCTTCTAACAACTCCTAAGTCTAAATGTTTAGTTGGTAGTATATCACTAACATGTCTTTTGTACATTGTAATGTAATTTGCTCGAACGTTTATGTCTTAAATTCATACATTGACATTGCCAATATCTCTCGAGAATTAAAAATTGCAATAATTGTAAAAAAAGAATTAAAAGTTGCCTGTTGAAACTTGAATTTATGATCCAACTTGTAGTAATGCTAACTTGTATTAACATGATCAACTCGAGGATAACTCGGTGGGTTAACTCGATCCGTTGCAAGAGATTTATTTTAATAATATATTTAATAAATTTAAAAATTATGAGAAGATTCGTGTTGAGTTATTTGATCATAACTAATGATTTTTATTTACATATTAATTTTTTTTTCACATTTAGGTATGAATATTTTTATGTATATAAATTAAATTAAATTAAATTATTTCAATTAAGACCAATTTGGCTTTGAGTGGACCTCAAGCTGAACTGTTTTGACTAGTTTGATATGTGTTACTCCCTTTAAATCATGATATAAGATATTTTTAAAAAATCTTACATAATCTAAAAGAAAAGATATTAGATAATTTTTATATTTATTTTTTAATGATATTCCTATTTTATTTATTACTCTTTTTAAAAAAATTATGCAGTGAAATTTAATTAATATTATCAAAAATTTTATATAAGATATTTAATGAAGATATAAATAAAAACATGTGAAAAGTTTTAAAAATTTAAAGTTTTAATTGACATTGCTTGTAGGTTGTGAATTAATTAATTATAAAAAAGTAATTTATAATGAATTAGTATACAATTGGTAAGCCCCAGTGCCGATTACATTCTTGATGCTCGATATATTAAATAGAAATAAAATCTCAACGTTATTAGTGGCGATAACCCTGACACTTAGGTTCGTTTTTTGCAAATGCTAGATAACTAGATACATTAAAAAAAAAAAACAAAGAGACAGAAAGAGAGATGAAGGATATATTGTGAACTTGGCTTTTTTTTATTTTTTCTCTCTCTCTATTTCATTTTTATTTTCTATTTCAATCATTAAATTTAATTTTGAGTAGTTAAGATTTGATATTATATCCACTTAAAAATAAATCTAATAATTAAGATGGGATGTAAAGAGAAAATGAAGAGGGCAAAAGATGAGGAGAAGTTGGGTCCCACACATCGCACAAAAGTGAAAACACCGGGAAGAATTTTCTGAAGCACAAGCAATGGGAAAATCTCGCAATACACGTGGCACATAATGACTGGGAAATGTGCCACCTGTCCACTTTTATTTTCCACTATATAAAGCCCTCAAATGCTCGATTCATCTCTCGTCCCCGTCCCACTCTGAAACAAGCCATCGAAACAGAGTACAGCTTTTACGCTATGGCCACTGAACCAGAGTTTCATAAAGCCGAAGAGGAAAGAGATGGAGAAGCTCCTATCCATGGCGATATCTTAGAGTCCATACTCTCTCATGTGCCACTCATCGACCTCGTCCCCGTCCTCCAAGTGTCAAAATCCTGGAATCGCGCCGTCTCCTCCTCCCTCGCTCACCTCAACCCCATCAAACCCTGGCTCATGGTCTACACACATACTAGCAGAGCCCCGCACGTGATCAACACGCACGCTTACGACCCTCGCTCTCGCGCGTGGGTTCAGATGCGCGAGCCCTCAGCCGTCAGGCCCACTGTCGCCTCCCTCAGATCATCACACTCTTCGCTCCTCTACATGCTCTCCTCTACCGCCCTCGCCTTCTCCTTCGACCCCATCCATCTCACCTGGCACCACGCCGACGCCCCGCGCGTGTGTCGAACGGATCCAATTGTCGCCCTCGTGGGTCACCACATCGTCGTAGCTGGCGGAGTGTGCGAGTTCGAGGACGACCCGCTCGCGGTGGAGATCTACGATTTGCGGAGGCGAACCTGGGACACTTGCGAGTCCATGCCAGCGATTCTGAAGGGTTCCGCGACCTCCACGTGGCTGTCCGTCGCCGTCGTGGGGCACAGGATGCACGTGACGGAGAAAATCTCCGGCGTCACACACACTTTCCATCCCGAGAAGAACACTTGGCAAGGACCCTACGACCTCCGACCTGACCAGAGCGTCTATTCCATCGTCAATGGAACACTGCGCGACCGCGTAATCGTGGCGGGGCTGGTAGGGGAAGCGGCGGAAGTGAAGAGCGTGAAATTGTGGGAAGTGAGAGGCGAATGGGGACCGGAATCGAAGCTGCGGTGCGAGGAAATGTGCGAGATGCCGAAGGAAATGGTGAAGAAGGTGAAGGGGGAAGGAGGATTGGTGTCGTCAATATCGATGTCGACAACGGGGGATTCAGTGTACATTTATAATCCGTCGGAGCCGGAGTGGGTGATGGGATGCGAAATTGTGAACGGAATCTGCAAATGGGAGAGCGTGGAAAACGAGGCGGTGAAGGACGGAGGACGGTTACAGAGGATGGTGGTTGGGGTGGGTGATGTGAGGATGGAAGATTTGCAGAAAGGCTTGAAGGAGAATCGGAGCTTCGCTTTGAAGCAAAGAAATCAAAAAGTTAATTTGGTGAGATAGGGAAAGGACGTAAGCCATGAAACTCGCACCTATACTGTACTTGTCGTCTTCTTTGATCGAATTCACTCTCTGAAATAGTGAAATTTGAATTTCCTCGTTTGGATGTTTGGATCATTTACTGCGAAATCCATTTTGGAAGGCCACTTGCTTCACGTTCCTCATGCTTTCTAGTAGGTGGTGCAAATTTGGAATTTTAAAACCCCATTCCTTTCGCTCTATAACATGTGTTTGGTTTTCACCAGTTTATTAAATATATATATATATATATATTTATTTATTTCTGAAAAGCCAGAAATAATTCAGATTACGTTCTGAAATAAATTTTTTCTATCATAAAAAAAATATTCAAGTAATATTCACCAAAGTTTTGTCTTACATAAAGATTCTTAATGCTTTTAGCCATTAATGTGACCTTAAACTTCTAGCATGACAAATAAATGTAAACAATTTTTTTTTTGGAGGTGATAGATTAAAATATTTCAACTTATTATTTATACTTGGCATGTTTAGTCAAGAATGGTAGAATTAACTATTGAGCAAATGTTATTTAAATGAATATTAATATATAAAATTTATGGCTAATTGCAAAATTTATATAACACTATCAGAAAATTATTTTTGAAATTTTTTGCTGCATTCCGCCCTAATTTGGTTTAAACCTCGAAAACTAATAAGTAATAAGTGAACAAAATTCTTAGTGTTCAATCAGGGAAAGGGAATTTATTATAAGTTAACGCAATGATAGGACTCAAAGATTTTAGTAGATACTTATTGGCCCAAAAAAACAAACAAACAAACTGACATACCTGAATTTAGAGTGGCCTCTTTATTTTTAGAATGCTTGTTGGTATCGCTTGGATGATATATACAAATGTAATTAATAATTGTAGGGATTAACTATATTAAATAAACATTTGATGGATGGATAAATAAAAAAATGTCACGGGATCATTATTTTTTTTCCAAAAAACTGGCTCAATGGATGTATAGTGCATTTGTTTACATGTCCAAGACCCTTTCCAATTCCCTCCAATGTGAAAAGCAACAACTCTCTCGATCAATCTGTGGTGCTCCCATCACGGCTGGTCCATTGGAAGGACTTACAGACTGGATATACTTGAGTCCAATTCTAATATCACTTTATCATGAGATTATTACTTTCTTTCGCAAAAGCTAGCTCAGTTGGGTATGCAACTGACTTGCTTATACACTCAAAACTTTTCCCAAGTTCCTTCAATATATGACATAATACTATGCCCAAATTTTGATCTATCAAGTAGTATATGTTTACCTACTGAAATTTTTGTGTTAAGTATTTTGACCACTAAAACTTTATGTTAAATTAACGCAATAATCAGGTTTGGGAGGTTGATTAAGTCACCAAACACCTTTTATTTTATACAACTATCTTATTTGATCAAATTCAAATGTTGTTAAATTTAATTAAAGTAGCTCTTTTGAAAATATTTTTTACAAAGCTCACATAAAATGTAGTATCAACTAGTTAGTGATTGATAATAGCTTTGAAATGGAAAAGCTAGTGGGAAAATGTGCAAGAAACATGTGTGTGTGTGTTTTCTAAAATTATAAATTTTAAAATAATTATTGTTTGTGGTGCTTTTTGGCACACCAACGTGCCAAAGGAGTGTGTATTAAACGGTGCGATATTCTTTTTTTCCAAATCGAACGATGAGTTCACATGGTTGTTTATCATAATTTTCAAAAATGCTAATGTTTACAAATAGAGAAACATGAAAGAACTGCATGGTAAGAGCTAGCATTGTATTAATATTAACATAGAAGAAATCACAAAAAATATAAGATGGAACACTAAAAGAAAAATGTTGAAGCTAGCAGTGATACTATTGTTGTAGGGGTGTTGTCGCTGTACTGCTCTGTGAAGGCTTATTGCTCTCTACTAGATGCGCATTGATAGAAGGGAATTGCATCTAATACTATACGAGGATGCTGTTGTCTGTTGAGCCCATTTGTAAGCTCCTGGAATAGCCGGGACAAGTACGAAATGCCGGGCCGAAATTCAGTACAGGATATCCAGTTTCAAATGAGGCACGCTGTAGTTAGAATATCTGAAAAGAAAAGAGGGGCAAACGAAGGTTGCGTCAGTAAAGATTTAGTTAATAACTTATAAAATTATAACTTTAATTTAAATTTTTTTAATAAAGATTCTTTAATTATATTTATTTAAATTCAAAGTTCATAATTTTCTAAAATTTCAGTAAAATTTGATATTAAATTTATGTGGAAATAATAAAATTGCCTTTTACTTAAATTAATATTAAAATTTTTTCACTTCACTTGTTTATTTAATTAAAAAATACTGTTAATTATCTTATTTCACTTGTTCATTTTTTTAGAATAAAATAAAATAAAAGTTTGACAATAAACAAGTACAGTGAAGAAATAAATAAAAGTTCGCAAGTAAATGAATAATATATAGTATAAGAATTAACAAATTATCTTAAGATAATTTGAATACCTAAAATAAAAATAAATTAAGTGAAAAAATTAATAATATTTTATAAGTAAATTTTAAATTTGAGCTTTGAATACACAGCAGTGAATAAATTTTTGATGGAAGGTATGCCCATCAAAGAAATGTTCACAAATTATTAACTAAATTAGTTTGAATTAAAAATCCGCAGAAGCAAGTGAGACATAGGACCTATTTTGATCAGTTTAATATCTTATGTATGGGCCATCGGTCCACTTACAACCTGCTAATGGTAGCAGGGCCCACAACTGTCGCCCATGTTTTGCACTATTGGCTGGGCGGGGCGCCCCCACTCGAAATTTGACAAGTCACCAAACCATAACCGATAGTGATGGATATCTGAGATCTCCCATCTCTTTAGCTCTTTTTTAATATTTGCCACGACTGTTTTTTTTTTTTTAAAATGTAACTATGGGTTTAAATATTTTGATTACTTTTTGTTTTTAATTTTTATATTTTTATTTCATTATTGACTATTTCTTTAGTTTAATTCATCTGTAATGTTAATTTTTGCTCCCTCAGATTTAAAATATAAGATTTTTTTCTCAACTAATCTTAATCTAAAATATGAGCAACTTAGTATCTGTAAAAAAAAAAAAATCATTTGCCTCTTGTATTTATTAATTTGAATTCTTATATACGTAAATTTATGACCTCTTTCTCACTCATTATAAATTGAAATGAAGAGGAAAAAAGGAAAATAATATTTATTCTTTCATGAAAATAAAGACTTTATTAATATGTAAATTATTGTTAAGAAATTGCTTATATTTTGGATTAAAGAGAATATAATTTTAAAAATGTACATAGAAATCATGAGTTGGCATCAATGGAGTTAATTTTGTTGATGTATGCTAAACTTTATTAAGCTTATTGTTGATGTGTACTTAACATTACATTCATCTCTCACATTTTGTTTAATCCAAATTTACATTAAGTTTTTTTGGCCACTTGCCTTTTATTTTTAATCATACCTATCAATTTATCATCACGTTAGTATATTTTTACCATGTTAATTGAGGGGTTAGCAAAGTCATAGCAAAATTAACTCCGTTAGTGTCAGCTCATGGTTATTATTATATTTTTTAAAATTATAGAGACTAATTTTACAAGTAGATCAAATTAAAGGGAATGATAATAACAAAATAAGTTATACGAACTAAAAACAAAACATAATTAAAATACAGAAATCCACATGTAAATAACCTTATAATTTTAAAACCTAATAAAGAACCCCATAATTTTTCAAAGTCGCGTGCAGATAAACTACTTTTATATATTTTAGATAGAGAACACCTTGCTGTCAATTTACTAAAGATTTTTAAACATCAGAGAGGTTGTCTGCATATACTCTTTAAGATTCTGTTAAATTTAACTATAAAAATTGTAATAGGAGAATTAAGTTCAACAATTGTCGAACTTGAATTGGTGGATATGTTAATAAACCATATGATACTGTGGTGGGGAAAAAAAGGAAGGAAGGATGTGAGATGAAAGAGGGATCTAATATTGTTAACCATTGTGCATAAATGCAATATGAAAGTACAAAATATGTATATTATCATAAATGGCCGCATGGATAGGTTCATATGATACTAACTACTCAATGCCACCCCATCCCCTTTTAGATATGGAAGAAAAACCTTCAAAAGGATCATCTTTTTGCATCACTCACTATTAAATTTTTATATCAACAAATATAATTGCCTGTAACTACTAAAGATGCCCAAATGAGGTGGACATAATCCAATTCTTTTTCATCAATAGAAAAAATTGTGTTGGAAGAATTATCTTAATCAAACCCAACCATGTTTCAACTTCATTCTAATACTTTTTTTTTCACATTAAATGATAATTTTGTCCTTAAATTATTAGTCTGAAAATGTTTGGGATTTTAATATTTTTCTTTAACATCTTTAAAATGGTGCAATATCTCCCTTATAGCTAACAAATGTTAACTCTGACTATTAGTTAACTAAGAAAGTATAGGAAAAAACCTTAAAATTGTATAAAAGGATTTCAAAAATTATAAAAAATATAAATTTTTATATGATACTTCTTTGTAATTTTTTGAGTCCTTTTTGGTAATTTTTGAAGCCATTTTTTAAAATGTTAGAATGAACATTGCACTAAAATAAGTTTAGGCTCTTAGACATTTTTGGATTTATAGTTTAAGGGAAAGATTACTCTTTAACTTTTTTTTTTATTGCGAACAAAAATATTTCTATTGGACGAAATCATATTTGAGGCATAATGAGGCACTAAATGAAAGCATTTAGCTTCTTCTAGTAAAGATTCAAATTTTAATTTGTTACATTATGAAATATTAATTGCTTCTGCTGTACCTAACTTACGTTGGCATTGACTCCATAATATTAAATATTTGATAATGAAATAAAAAAATTTCCTATAATAACAATAATGATATCACTTTTATTGAATTAAATATTTTTTTTCATTCATTTTTCATTTTTTATATAAATTAGAGGAGAAACGAAACTATTGATATTTATAATTTTATTATGTTTTGTTATTAGTTCTTGTATTTTTTTTGGTCCTAGGTCCTAATAACTTTTCTTGCTTGCAATGTTGGTCTTTCTATTTTAAGCACGCGTGATGGGATGATGATGTAGCGCTAAT